ATCTTTTAAAAAAATTAAAATAAAATGTTAATGACTACCCTACTTACAGAAAAGACTAGCAGGGTTAGCCTTTGCCACTTCATATAAATTTTGGGCTCCTATCATTCAAAGGTATAGATTAACATTTTGTTTTTATTACTAAAGTCTTATCCAGTCTATTCATATGATGTCCATATTTATGAATTTTACACATCATGGAATATTAAGGTTCATGATGTCTATGCTTAGATTCTTTTTATCTAAAAAGTACAGTTTTTTTCTGGGTACAGATCAACTAACTGAAGTGAACATTCTTTTATCATTTACTACTCATAAATATAAGCTACTTTTTCTAACCACCTTTGGGTTCCTGTCAGTATTGATCTGTATACTAAAATTCTCACTTATCAAGTGTAGTATTTGAATTAGACAACTTGAAAAACATGCTTATATTCCCTACTGTTTTCTTTTTTTTCTTTAGTTATTTTTCAAATACAGTTTTGTCTTTTACTCCCATCCCAACCCCGCCCCGCGTGCTCCCTACCTCCCACCCATTTCCACCCCCCCATTAGCTGTTGATCCCTAATGTTTTTAATATAAAGTAACAGGTAGTCTCAATATCAATTTGTGGTCACCTCTTTGCTCTAAAATAATTAAGAATCATTGCCAGTGATGTTTAAACTATTAATTGTGCTTTAAACAAAATATCTTTATTCTAGTATTCTAGCCTTTTAGTTTCTTATATTAACAGTCCCGCTTAGGAGATTATAGCAAGAACTTTCAAAAGGTCTATGATGTCATTTGGTATTTTACACTGATAGGTATAAAATAGTGGACTTTCTTTCTGCTTTAATTTACACTAAAACATCCAGGCTTCACATATCATCAAGTGTCAACTACTTGGAACACCAGCAGAAAAGAGAAGAGAATTTTTAAAAAGACTACGAAGCAGCTAAAAAATGACATCAGAAAGTCGAAATTCTAAAGCCTATTCTAAAACTTTACTTACCAGAATACCTCTTCTATTTACTTACATTGTAGAAACAAGTTTAAGATGGTTGAATGAGATTTTCTGCTGCTCAGTAAGTTAGAGGCACCAAGAATATATGTACATTTATAGCAACAAAAAGGGAACATATCACAGGGAAGAGACAGAAAAGTTGTTAAAAGCCAATACCAGCCTTACTGGTGTGGCTGAGTGGGCTGAGCATCATCATGCAAACCAAAAGCTCTCCAGTTCCTTTTCCCAGTCAGGGCACATGCCTGGGTTGCAGGCCAGGCTCCTGACTGGGGGCATGCTAAAGGCAACCGATTGATGTTTCTTTCTCACATCAATGTTTCTCTCCCTGCCTTTCTTTGTCCCTCTCTTCCCCTCCGAAAAATAAATAAAAATTAAAAAATAGAAGCCAATACTAACACTTGATAATATAGGATTCTAGGCAAATATAACCTCTGTAGCTCAAAGAAAAGGTTGTATTTTATGATAATGGTGAGAGTGTAGCTATATATTATCTGTCCATAATTAGGACACTTAGTCACTAATAAAAGATTAAATTATACATAGTAGTATAATACAACTTGATGAAGATAGTTTTCTATTAAAATAGCTCATTTTTTTGCCCTGGCTGGGTGACTTGGTTGGAGCTAGTCCAGTGCACCAAAGGGTTGCAGGTTCAATCCTTGGTTGGAGCACATACAGGAGGTAACTAAAATATTACCTCTTTCTGTCTCTCGATGCCCACCCCCCACCACTCTAAAATCAATAAACATATCATTGGGTGAGGACTTAAGAAAAACCCTCAGTTCTAAGTGTTTGCTTTTTTAGCTAAAGATTTACTTGTGGGTCCTGGCTGAGTAGGTTATTTGGTTAAAGCATCACCCTCATATGCTGAGTTTGTGGGTTTGATCCCTAATCAGGGCATATACAAGAATCAATCTCTCTGTTTCCCCCCCTCAAATTAATAAATAAAACTTTTAAAAGATAAAGATATACTTATGGAATGGACCTTCCATTCTTTATGGCCTGATAACTGATGTTATAAATTTTAAGATAATGGGAGTATAAAACTTAAAATTGGTTGTTGTGTTTTTTGTTCAACAGACAGCTGGTAATGATCCATATTGTTTTGTGGAGTTTTATGAGCATCGTCATGCAGCTGCAGCACTAGCTGCTATGAATGGGCGGAAGATAATGGGTAAGGTAAGCTGTCATAATTAAAGGTGACTTGCACTGGATATTTTAAATTGCATAGTTCTGTTTTCTTTTTAGAAGCATTACATTCACTTTATAGAACATGATCGTGTTTATTATTAAAAAAAAAGGTGGGATAAAAGCTGTTAAAGGGCATGTTTATGTTCATATTCTTCATGGTGCCTTACACATGGTAAATACTAAAATTTTTTTAATTACTCAAGCTTGGGTGAAACATCTAGGAACATTGGATACTAATGGGAAGAATAAAAGGCAAAATTCATTGGTACTTTAGATAAGAGAGGGGATTGGTTGAATGTTAACAGAAGTATGAGGTCTGTCCAGAAAGTATCTAGCCATGTACAGTGAAAAATTAGAAACGTTTATTGAAAACGATAAAGATACAAGAAACATTGTACATAGGATAGTGATGCTTCAGTCTCCTTCAAAGTAGGCACCTTAGGACCTCACACTGTTTTCCCAGTGTCTCTTCCACTGTTAAAATACTCTGTAAAGTCCTTTGTTGGAATTTTTATCAGCTGCCCTATCGTATTTTCCTGAATCTCATCAATAGTCTGAAACTCATTCCTTTCAAAGGTGGGTTTTAGTTCTGGGAAAAGCCAAAAGTCACGGGATGTCAAATCTGGATGATAGTGGAGCTGAGATACCTGGGTGATTTGATGTTTCACAAAAAAAAAACCTCTGTATAAGACATGATGCATAAGTGGGCACGTTGTCATGATGAAGCTGCCAGTCACCAGTTTCCCATAGCTGCAGCCTTCTGAATCCAAATAGTTTCCAAGGAGGAATGTTTAAGTGTAATGTAAAATTTGATGCAGATTCGTTGCTCTACTTGCTCATTTGGAATGCAACAGCCACACAGTACACATGCTCACTCAATGGCATCTACCACCCCCACTGAGAGTGAAGTTGTCATTGTTCACACATGTGCATTTCAATTCACTCTCCTTGGCTGCCAGGTTACATTGATGTTGTACATACCATTCTTGTTATATTAACAATGGCTGGACTTTTTTCCGGACAGACCTCATATGTAAGATTAAGATTTGACAACATTTTTTTTGTGTAAATGTAGGTTAAAAGATAAACTGACCAGAACCAGTATTCATTTCATCTCAGACCTACACCTTCCTATGTGTTTATAGATGCAAATCTTGTAATACCTGGTTTTTTAATAGAGTGTAAATGTAGAAAAAATTTTTTTAGGAAGTCAAAGTGAATTGGGCAACAACCCCCAGCAGTCAAAAGAAAGATACAAGCAGTAAGTATATTTTATACTCTTTGAACATTTGTTTTTATTGTTCACAGTAGTTTTATTGTAAAGCATTAAACATCATACGTGTTTGCAGTAATGTTTTGATCGTTATCCTTAGATATGATTGAATGTGTTTGTGTTAATAAATTTAAGAACAAATCTAATCTTTGTCATCAGGTAGTACCGTTGTCAGCACACAGCGTTCACAAGGTAATTGTATCTTCTTAAACATAAAATGAAATCTCTTGAAAGGGTATTCACTAACCACCTGAAATTTTTTTGTTTGATGTTGGGGGGAGTGGGGAGGGAGGAGGTCGTGTTTCTATTTGTCTCTCTGGCAATATTTTTCCCCCTTCTTCCCAGTGTTGACCAAGTGTGGCTTGTCCACCACTTTGGTGCTATTTCAAGCTCTCTGACCCTCTTGGAGGCAGCTGATGCCTTAGAAATACTTTCACCAACTAAAGGGCAAGATACCCTGCTTCCTTGAGGTCACGATCTGTGCTCCATATCCAGATCTCCTGATTGCTTGAGTTGCTTCTGAAACTGTGTTTCCCAAATGACAACCCAATATCTTGCTTAAGGCCTGCCAAGTAGGAGTAACTTTTCTTTCCAAATATACTTTGTCAAAATTGATATATATGTCTATTTTAAGTGTTGATCCAACTATTTTGTATTTTTTACGTGTTTTTCTTGAGCATTGTCTTTTTTTAAAACTTCACATGGGATAGTTATTTCTCTCCAATGCTTTGTTAATGGTTCTAATATAAAGTGAAGGGATTACTGTTTTCATTCTGTTGCCTTCAGTCTTAGTTCACATGCACATGGATTCACATAAACTGAATGGTGTAATGTCTGGGCAACCAAAACTGTTGGCTTTTGAGAAAACTGTCAAATACTTTAACATCAAACTGTTGCAATGCAAGGTATTTCTTTGCTTGTTCTTCACAAACTATGGTTAAACCAAGTATATCATGTAGCTAGCTTCAGTGAATTGTCTTAACTGAGGCAAATCTAGTCTACATAAGTCACAGTACCACTATTTTATTTTAATTTGTAAAACTTTAATAGAGTGGTAAACTGATTAATGTAAATAATTACTATTAAAATGGTAATTAAGTCATTAATTTTTGCAACACTTGTTATAATCATATTAGTAGTTTATTTTCTTAGACCAGTATAATAATTGGTTATAATAAGAAATATAACTGTCAGTTCCAGTTAGGTGTATCAGTCTTTAGGACAGTTTTTTCTGTATTGTTACCTTGATTAATTTTGTTTAAAATTGATAGGATTTGTATAGGTAGAGGATAGTGTTTTGCTTATATGTTACTATAAATCCATAAATTATTTTAAGAAAACTTGATTGAATAAATTTTAGCATTTTTTAAATTCTAAAATTTTATTTTTCTTTTCACTTCCCCTTCCTTCCCCTTATAAGATCATTTCCATGTCTTTGTTGGTGATCTCAGTCCAGAAATTACAACTGAAGATATAAAAGCTGCATTTGCACCATTTGGAAGGATATCGTAAGTAACAGAAGATAAAAGTAAAATACTTTTAATTAGGAACAATCTTAAAAGTACTTTGAAATTTTTTGTGAATTTTGACATTAATTTTAACACTTGAATATAATGTATTTCATTGTTTAGTGACTATTCAAGCATTAAAAGACAAAGAAAATAAATCTTTTGTCTTCATTTATCTTAAAAATATTTTTTCAATTGGCATTAGCTTTTGAGACAAATTTACTATTGTATATCTGTTTCATATATAAGTGTCTTGCTAGCTTGGTCATAATCTTTAGTAAATTCCTTCTGTGACTGAGGAATTTAGACCTTTTGGGCACTTCTGTGATACCATGCATTTTTGTGTTAATCTATTTTAACAAGAAGAAACCTCATTTTAACCCCAAAAGCAGTTACTAAGTGTTAATTCTAAGGTATTTACCCTCTTGTTGTTGTTACTGTTAACAGCAATAACAGTAATGCCTTTTAGTTTTTTGTGAAGCTCTGTCTTGCTCGCATTTGTTATTAATCAGCTTAACCCCTTTGTAAATAGCTCACTCAAGGCTTTATTTATCATAAAAGAACTTCACTATTTTGAAAAACATGCCGTAATAGAATAAGAATAATAATTTAATTATAGTACTTTCTTACATTTAATTATTTAATATAGAAAAGAGAATTTTGTTAGGGTTTCTGGTTGCTCTATTATTGTTGTTCCAGCTAAAAGAGAGTAAATTTTCTTAACTGAAGTCAGAAGGAAACACTAGCTTTAATTTGGTTTGATGAACAGACCAGCAGCAAATTGAGGTGAGGAGGAAAGTAAATGCCAATAGTTTGGTGATGAATTTTGGGAGAATTTTCATTTGAAGAGTTGTACTTCATTGGTAGGATGATGAACATGCATAATAAGGTACCAACTCTAAAGGCAGTTGTCGAGATCAGGGTTTATAAATAGACTCTTTTCTGGTAGGTGACTTTTTTTTTAATCCTCACCCAAGGACATGCTTATTGATTTTAGAGAGAGGAGAAGGAAAGAGAACGTCAATCAGTTGCCTTTCACATGGGTCCTAACTGGAGACTGAATATGCAGCCTTCTGTTTAGGGGAAGGTGCTCCAACCAACTGAGCTGCACTGGCCAGGGCTGATATTTTTCTGTATGAGAACTGATTAGGAAAATAAGTTCTAATTTCTCAATTGTTCCTTTTAGTCTGCCTTAGGATCTTGATGATCTTTAGCCTGCTTTCAAATACCTAGACTGGATGGTCTTAACTGTTAGCCTTTCAAAAGTCTGTATAAGTTTCTATACACAAAATGTTGTTTTTCTTTTTGGTATGGAGTATCTCTGTAAGTTCTACCATATTTTCAGAGTAGTCATAGGGCCATAAAAGGATTAAAGAACCCTGGTCTAGATATTTGCTGCTACTGCTTCCTTAGAGAATCCTGTCAAAAATAAGTAAGAATTAAATATATTTCAAGGCTAACATTTTCTGAAACTTAACCCTAGGGAAAAATTTTTCTAACATTTTAACAGATTAAATAGCTATTTTATTAAATGTTTTAATTTTTCTTCAAGTAACTTTTCTGAAAACATGGGAATTATAGTTTGGGATTAGATAAAGATTATTTAACAGTCAGTTAAGTTAAAGGATATTCAAATTTTAGTAATTTCTTGACTTTTTAATCATGGATCAGTAATTTCTTTTTGTTAAATATGTTGGTATCATAATTATAGTCTGTAGATTTCATTATGGCCAACCATGATTATTTATGTATATATTAGTTTTTCTAGGATAAGGCTTTTCTTTAAGTTTTATAATTTTTAGTTGATGTAATATATAAATAATGTTTAAGCTTTGGGCTACCCAAAGAATGTGTTCCTAAATTTAAAAGAATCGTTTTCAGTGGAGTAGCATCATTTCCTGATTATATTTTTTATTAAAGGAAATAAGTTGGCAACTATATTAAAAGGTTCTTATCATAGTCTCAGTAAAGATCCTACAACAATGAGTTACAGAAAATACACTGTAAATGATGACCTAATAAAATATTTAGTATGAAAAATGTAGTTCCTTTTCTAATTAATATAGTAAACTCTTCCTGTTCCTTGAGTTTAGGGTAATCCAACAAGTTTTTGGTATAGAACTGAATCAGCTACCAAATTAATGCATGTGTACCATTCAGATCATTTAATAAGTATTTTTACATAATAAGAAGTGACTTGCATTAGTTTTCCCTTTTTACCCTTACGTCTTTGTCATTTTGAACCTAAACACTTCATAAATCACTCCTAAATTGATCAAAATATGCTTATGTATACTTAATAAAAAATTATATTGCATGGCTTTCTGACTTGGGTTTTTGTTGTGAAAGTGCCTGTTTTGTTCATGTGTCCTGAGAGAACAAGCATTGTGACATACCTGGCTAACTTAAAAGCAGATTGCCTGTGAAGCACAATTTGAGTCCAATTTTTTGAGGTATGGAGTTTTAGCTATCATGACTGGGTTTTTTACTCAATCTCAAATAATAGGGCTCTGGTTATTTTGCAGAGTATCTCTGAAGAATGGACAGAATTGCCCTGGCTAACTACAAGCTACGGTTCACAATGGATAAATGTTGGCGTGCTTTTTTACTTTCTGAGTTTTTAAAATTTTGCTCTTATATCTTATAGTTTCCAATCAATCTTATATGATTGCTACTTTAAAATTCAGTATAAAATCCTTTCATATATAGTTTAAAACTAAAGTGTGTGTGTGTGGTATTTTTCTTCAGTTATTTAGCATTTCTGAAAATGTCAAGTTATCAAAATTTACAAATAGTCCATAAGGAGGGGGGATATAAATTGATCTGAGAAAATAATTTACTTAATTTAGGGAATATACAACTTTTTCATTTTCTTAGTTTCCAGTTTTCTATTTTAATTTTTTAATGATTAGGTAGTATATGGTATCAAATAGCAAATTATAAATTGCATGGTTAAACAAAGCCATTCATCTAATGTGTCTGTGAACCCTATAAGTGGTTAAGTAATTGATCTGAATAGCTGTCTTCACCATGCTTAGTATTTAAAAGTTTAAAACTTTCAAAATGGGAGGCAGTTTCTATACAATGTATACATACATATTTAAGAAGTTATTGATTTGCATGTTATAAAATTAAGCCTCATTTGCTAATACATAATAAATTTATAGAGTAAAAGGTGAATTTGTGTTAATGGTTCATTTTAATGAAGATGAAACATGAAAATGAGTTGTGTGTAAAATTCTCATTTGATATCCACAGGAGAGTTTGCAAACCTGAACTTCTGATTGTTTCTGATTTCAGAGACGCCCGAGTGGTAAAAGACATGGCAACAGGAAAGTCTAAGGGATATGGCTTTGTCTCTTTTTTCAACAAATGGGTGAGCTCGATTAAAAAGTGCATGTACAGTGCTTCAAGAGTAAAGAATGAAAATACTCATTTTAGTTATTAATCTTTTCTTCCATATGCCATTTGTTCATTTCACTGAAAATTAACACCTACACTAAAGGATATGTTCTTTCTCCTGTTTGGCCATTTATTCAACTTCTGTTTAGTACCTATGCATGCAAAGTACTTATAAAATGTTTTCAGAATATATAAAGTGGACATGTTTAAATTATCAGCCAAAGATATTGAAAATCTCATTTTGTCAACCTATTTCAGATTCCCATGATAATTCAAATGTAACTAATAAAATGCTCTAATGGGCCAGGACTTTTTACATTGTTTATTAATGTATTTGAAATGTTTGTTTCATCATTTCTTTCATTTAACAAACATTTACTGAATACTAATTCACATGGATTTGAAATTTCTGGTTTTTGCAGAGGAAAGGAAGGACAGTGCAATTTATCAAATGAAAGGTGAGAGTAGGATTTATAAAGAAAGGAAAAGCTCATTTCATGTGACAGCTGGAGAAATCTTTGGTGTATCTTCTATACAGTGTAATACTGTGCTGTAGGTACTTTTTAAAAAAGGCCTTGGATGGTGTGGCTCAGTGGATTGGGCGCTCATGATTCCCTATCAAGGTGCATTCCTGGGTTGCAGGCCAGGTCCCCTGTTGAGAGGCTCTCGCATATGGTTGTTTCTTTCCCTCTCTCCTTCCTTCCCCTCTCTCTAAAAATTAAATATTTTAAAATATATTTTTTAAAAAAGAATAAGGACACTTTGTAAGTACAGATTATAGAAAGTTTTCTATGGTACAATGTTAAGTGGCAAAGCTTATTTAGGTGTGAAACGGAAGAGAACATGGTGTGCATGCATGTGTATGTTTTCTTTTGCTCATAAACAACCTTGTTTCAGCGTTTCCTGTTAGCAAGTAGGTAATAGGCACTCTTTATGTGGCAGATGGGGGACAAAGAGGGAAGTTTCTTACTGTATTGTATGGTTTGAGGTTTGAACCTTGTAAACATATTACAAATTTAAATAAAGTCATTAATGTTTTAGTGTGGTAACTCAAGGTTTAAAACAGTTAAATGCAGAGATATCACACTTCCAAAAATATAGGAGTGGGATAGTTGATAGACACTAATTTTGGAGTATACACAAAGGTTTCATTAACCTTGGGTTTTCTTGTATTGCCTCTATATTTTGACTTTTTTGTCAATGATAATTTACTGTACTTACTTTCTGTGTAAGATTGCCTTAGAATGAACCATTGAAAGTTTTTGATAGTATAAAATATGTTTTAAAAAATACTTTTCTTAGTTTAGTTAAAGGAATATTTGAAATAGATACATAATTTCTTGATGGCTTCAGATTGAATACATCAGCATCAGTTATTGTGTTAGTTCCTTCTTGGTTTTTGCAGTTATGCCAAATAGTGTCAGACTATTTTGTTTTTTCTAGTTCCTGTGTCTACTTAAATTGGAACTAATATCTGGCTATCCCTCACTATGAGTTCTTGGTGAGGAATATTTGCTATAGCATGCAACCATTTTGCCCAGAATTTACTTTTCAAATAAAAAATCTGCCCTAAAAATGTTTGTGCGGATTACAAATTCAGGTAAGGGGATGTAGAATGCAGTAGCATTGTGCAGTTCACACAGGAACATTGTCTCTTATGGTCAGATTATTTAAGTGTATTATGCAGTATAGCTATCATCTTCTCATGAAGCGAAAATGTCTTCCAAGAAAGTGGATAAACCTAAGAGGTCATAAAGAACCCACATATTAGAAGAAAAAATGTAAATAGTAAAGCATATTGAGAAGTGAAAACACAAAATTCCACCATGTATTGTCCCATCTACCAATTATAAAATTCTTTTCTGTGAGATGAAAAAATAAAAACTGTGAGAATGTAGTTGGTTCTGAAAGCTCTACTGTTAATCATAATAGTTAGGAAAATACCTTATATATATGGCTGATACTACAAATAGTGTGAGTTCCTTGGAGGGTTGATTTTATATATATATATATATATATATATATATATATATACACACAATTTTTAGTGTACTATTTGAGAAAGTAGGTTGGGGGCTTTGGTGGAATAGGAATTTGCTTTTTCCTATTGAGATAATGGAATAAAGGCTCCTGCTATATATATAAAATATATGTGTGTGTATATATATAGTATATATTTTATATATAGAGAGAAAGATTTTATTTATTTTTAGAGAGAGAGGAAGGGAGACAGAAAGAGAGGGAGAGAAACATCAATGTGCAAGAGAAACATTGATTGTTGCCTCTTGCATATCTCCAGCTGGGGACCTGGCCTGCAACCCAGGCATGTGCCCTGACCTGGAATCAAATTGGCAACCCTTTGGTTTGCAGGTCAGTACTCTGGCCAGAGCAAGGCCTCTCCCTGCTATATAAAAATCACTGTTAAATGCATATTTAGTATGAAATAGAATCAGATAGCAAAGGTTGTCTATGGGTGGCCTCTGGAGTTAGCTAGAGATGAATTTGAACCCTGACAACCATCACAACTTTGAGTAAGTGGTTTAATTTAATCTGCCTGAGTTTACATTTCAGATTTTATGAAACCTGTGATATGTGATTGCTAGACACTGGTGTTGTGAAGAGCCGCAGCGCAGATTGCAGTTACTCTACTCCCTTTGCCTGTACCCATGTTGTGTACACTAGGCAAACCACGATATTGACTGAACGTAGCTCTTTTTTGCTTACTCTGCCATAAGTGAATATTGCTAGAGAAAAACTGATTTCACTTCTAATTTAATGGTCACACACTTTAGATGAGCAAATGGTGCTATGTTTGTAAACCTGTTTTTCTAGTAAATTTGATGTCCTGTTTTTTTTTTTAATTTTTCTATTTATTGATTTTGGAGAGAGATACATCGATTTGTTGTCCCACTTATTTATGCAGTCATTGGTTATTTATTGTATATGTCCTGACCAGGGATCCAACCCACCAATTTGGTACATCAGACAGCGCTCTAACCAACTGATCACCCAGCCAGGGCCACATTCTTTGTTAACTATTTCATGTCCCCTCCTGTCTCCTCAGATATTCTTTACTCTTCTCCATCATCACCCTGAACTGCCTGCCTTATGCTTCACTGAGAAAATAAAAGCTATTATACAGGAATTCCTCAGATATTTTTACTTTTAGAGAGGGGAAAGGAGGGAGGGGAGAGAGACACACCAGTGTGTGGTTGCCTCTCCCACACTCCCCACCAGGGACCTGGCCTGCAACCCAGGCATGTGCCCTGACTGGGAATCAAACCTGTGACCCTTTGGTTTGCAGACTGACACTGAGTCCACATATTGGTGTGGATATATCTCTCACACATCAATGTTTCTCTCCCTCTCTTACTCCCTCCCTTCACCTCTCTTTGAAAATAAATAAATAGCACCTTAAGTTACCTGTAATCCCTGGTATCCTCACCTAGTAGCTGCATCACTTGGATCTCTGTCTTCATCTTTACATGGCCCCCTTCCCTCTGTGTGTATCCACATCAGCTTCTCTTCTTATAAGGACAACAGTCTTACTGGATTTAGGGCTAGCCTGAGTCTGGTATGACCTCATTTTAACAAATAATCTGCAAAGACCCTATTTCCAAGCAAGATCACATTCATTGTTACAGGGATGTGGTGTTAGTTAGGTTTTCATATTAATTTAAGGGACACATTTCAACCCATAACAGTAGATAAAGATCTTATGGCATTCAACAAACTAGTTAGTGTGGTGAACAATGTTTCTTTAAAAGAATACAATAGTACCCCTTGTCTGCACTTCGCTTTCTTTGGTTTTAGTTACCTAAAGACAACCACTGTCTAAACATACTAAATGGCTAATTCCAGAAATAAACAACTAATACATTTTAAATTTAATGTCATTTTGAGTAATGTAATGAAATCCCACTCCATCCCACTTAGGACATTAATCATCTCTTTGTTCAATGTTATCCACACAGTATACACTACCTGCCCATTTGTTGGTTAGCTGTCTATTATCAGATCAACTATAGCAGTATTTCAGTGCTCGTTTTCAAGTAACCCTATTTTACTTAATTATGGACCGAAAGCACAAGAGTAGTTATGCTAGCAATTCATCTATGAAAAAGAGAAGCCATAAAGTGCTTTCTTTAAATGAAAGGTTAGTACAGTACACTAAGATATTTTGAGAGACTACATTCACATAACTTTTATTATGGTATATTGTTATAATTGTTCTATTTTATTAGTTACTGTTAGTAATCTCTTACTATGCCTGATTTATAAATTATACTTTATCATAAGTATGTATGTATGTATGTATGTCTATATATAGGGAGAAAACATAGCATATATAGGGTTTGGTACTATCTGCATTTTCAGGCATAAACTGAGGGTTCTGGCATATATTCCTTATATATAAGGGGAGGCTACAGTAGTATTTCCTTTTTGTGGGTTTCAAGGTGGCTTTTATCCTTGACTTTGTCTGTTCTTTTGCTGAGTTAAGTCCACATTTGACACATGCAGACCAAAGCTGCACCCCAGTTACTTCTCAGTTCACTCTAAACTGGCTTTTTTTTTTCTCTCTAGTATCTCTCTATCCTTGTCCACCAACACTTTTCTTTTAAAGTTCAGTTCCTGGCTCTGTGACAGTATACTTTTGTGGATTTCTTCCTTCATCACTAGCTACTCCTTAGTCACTTTAACTGTCAGCTTTTCCTTTCCCTAGTCAATATTCAGGTTTGCTGCTTTTCAGGATTCCAGGATGCTTTCATTTCTCTCTCTCATTTTTCTTCATGACTCTAATTTTATATCTCCAGTTCAGCTTATTTCTTTGTGCTCCATGCATATAAACAAATGGTCTTCATGTAAGTGTCCTGTAAGCATCTCAGACTCGACGTGTCTTCATTGGAGCTCTTTGTTTCTCCCTCAAATTTGTTCTGCTCCTCCCTCCCAGGTTTCTTATTTCAGTAAATGCTAGTGGTACTGTCCTCCCCTACCACCCAAGTAGGAATTAGGAAATATCTTTGATTCCTCTCCTTTTACTTACTATGCACCCCTAGTTCTGTTGACTTCCTTTAGATTACATTCACTGCTACTGTGCTAGTCCTGACTGCAAGCATTTTTTAAATCTGGATATTATTTTAGTCTCATAAAGTATCTTTTTCCTTTTACTACCCATCTCCCTAAACCATTCTCCTCCTAGCACTAAGAACAGTTTTCTTAAAATATGAATTAGAGCATGATAATCTCTTACTTAAAATCTTTCTGTTTTTTCTTCTGGTACCCTTCATTTCTGCTCACTAGAGTCCACTGAAATTTAATCATCTTTCACATTCTTCTTTCAGGTGCTTATGTATCTCTTTACTTCCTTTACACACTTTACAATGCTTTTCCCTCTACCTGGACTTTTTCCCCTGGTGGTGTGACTTGGCTAGCTCCTTTTCCTCTCAATTTTTGCTCAACTATCATTTCAGAGAGACCTTCCCTAATCATGCTACCTAAAGTAGATCGCCATGTCCGTAACCTCTGTCTCAACCTTTTGTTCTGTCATGGCATGTACAGTTTGTAATTACTTTATTTGTTCCCCCAAAAGCTGTAAGCAACATGGCAGCGGAGACCACGTCTGCCTCACTCACCAGCATATCCCTAGCACTTAGCCTGCTGCCTAAAACATGATAGCTGTTTAATGTTTACTTGTTGAATGAAATGAGAAATGAAATACAGTGATACTTGAGTACTCATTGGCTTCAGAACTTGTCAAACCTGGTACTTGTCACGTTTTGACAAGACAAAAAATGTTTCAGATTTTGAAACTTGTTCACCACTTGTCACACCTGCTAGAACTTGTATAAGTCATGACACCACCCCCCAAAAGAAAATGCTTCATCAATCGTCACTTGCTCACCACTCGTTGGAATGACTTAATTACGAGTACTGAGGTATCACTGTACTGTCGTTAGCAAAATTCTATAAAGTGAGACTTTCGTCCATAATAGTCCAGTTTATTACATGAACTTTTAACAGCTACCTCAGAAGGGTTTTGGGCTTTGGTTTTTTCCCACTGATTAACATTACCAAAGCCTGATACCTAAATAAAAGAAAGATAATTTATTTTTTTACATTTTTTAAAATTGTTATTCAATTACAGTTGCCCCAATTTCCGTCCCCAACTCTTGCTCTCACCTGCCCTGTCCATTCCCCTCTCCCCTCACCCCTTACCCCATCATCCTTGTCCTTGGGTCCTTTATATGTGTACGTTGACCCTTCTCCTTCTTTCCCCCATTGTCCCCCTCCCACCTCCCCTCTGATCACTGTCAGTATGTTCTTTATTTCTGTGTCTAAAGAAAGATAAAAGTACCATTGCATTTTAGATGAGCTATCGTAAATTGTGTACTTCAAAAAGCATTTTTATTCAAAAAATATTTGTGAAAAGCATACACAAGTTTTCTCTGTGGCCAACAGTTTTTAAACATTAACTAATAGTGGGTTCTTTGTTATCTCCAATGTTGTGTGGAACAGGATGCTGAAAACGCCATTCAACAGATGGGTGGCCAGTGGCTTGGTGGAAGACAAATCAGAACTAACTGGGCAACCCGAAAGCCTCCAGCTCCAAAGAGTACATATGAGTGTAGGTGTATTGGAGAAGAAAAGGAAATGTGGAATTTTGGAGGAAAATACACTAGATTTTAAATGTTAGAGCTGTTCCCGGAGACTTATTGCAGAACTAGATGAGAAGCAAATCAAGACTACTATTCTAAAATGTACTTAGTTTTCATTTTTGTAATTATAAATAATAAATATTATCTCTAATGTCAAGTCTCCTGTTAAATAGACAATATTGGGTAATATTGTAGACATTCTTGGGGGAGGTTTAATTTTCATTCAAACATAATATGTATTATATAAGTATTTGGTCAAGGTAAATATTACCATTATAGTAGTGTAGTTAATGCTGCATTTCTCTTTTGGAACATTTTATTTAATGAATTAAAAATGTAAAACTTTCCATCCCCAGCAAACACCAAACAGCTCTCATACGATGAGGTCGTAAATCAGTCTAGTCCAAGCAACTGTACTGTATACTGTGGAGGTGTCACTTCTGGGCTAACAGGTACAGGAGCTTTACTTGTGTGGCATTTTGAGATTAATTTTTAAATTGAAAAGCTTAATATTTCTAGGATTTTAATTTAACTTAATGGGTTTAAAAATTTTTTTTTGTCTTAACAGAACAACTAATGCGTCAGACTTTTTCACCATTTGGACAAATAATGGAAATTCGAGTCTTTCCAGATAAAGGATATTCATTTGTTCGGTAGGGGTAGTTTTGTTTTTTTCTTTAATTTTTTCCCCCAAAATTATTTTTAAATATTTAACTTAGTGGTTTTCTTAAAAATTTACCTTGGTTATAAAGAAATAAAAATTTCTCTTAGCATTTAGTTTATTTGCCAGGTTTTTTTTTTTTTAGCTCCCTTCTTCCAACACAAAGCCAGTAAAATATCCTGTATAAAAGAAGTTTCTCCAAGCCCTAGCCTAGTGGCTCAGTTGGTTGAAGCATCATCCCATACACCAAAATGTTCAGTTCTTGGTGGGAGCACATACAAAAGGCAGGCAGTTAGTGCTTACTTTCTTTCACTCTCTCTCCCCACTCCTTATCACCCCCCCCAACCCAAACACACACACACTCCCTCCCTTACACTTACTAAAATCGATGACCATATTCTCTGGTGAGGATTTTTTTTTAAATGTTTCTCCAGAATTACAAGATCTTTGGGGTAGGGGAAGCAAAGAAAATATGCCATTTTATTGATTCTTGTATGTGAGCTGCCTGGCTCAGCTTGATTTAGAATAAAAATAATGTTTTATTCTGGAGTATTTTAAGCAATTTATATTGAATGATTATTAATAATTGTTTTTAATAGATTCAACTCCCATGAAAGCGCAGCACATGCAATTGTTTCTGTTAATGGAACTACCATTGAAGGTCACATTGTGAAGTGCTATTGGGGCAAAGAAACTCTTGATATGATAAACCCCGTGCAACAGGTGAGAGGGTTCTTGACTTTGCAGAGTAATACTAATAATAAGGTTATTTGAAAATGAAATTGCTGATAATCCATGTTAATAAGTTTCTAGTTCATACTAAAATGACAGTATATAAGGGCTCTTCCTACATGTATTATAGTTCCAGAGTGGTGGCTCATGGATTGCAGTTGTGACATGATGAATGTGACCGCCTCAATTGACTCATACACAGTGGATTTTAAAATGCTCCGACAAACCTAACAGGGTATTAAATTTTTTCTTAATACTTGGTAGATTTATTCACATACTCTTTGGAGAACTGACATGCATTGTTGACGCAATTGAAAAAAAATGTAGTTATGTTTATGTTTAGGGCCTTGGCATTTTGCTGCTTTTCTTTTTTCTAGGCAGCTTTAATGTTTAACTTGATCCCATGAAGATTACTATGAGGGAATTGTAAATGGAGCATCACTATAAAGAGGAGTAAGAAAATCCTAAACTATAAGTTCTTTAAGTACACTGAATATAGAAATAAATCATCTTTGTATTTTCCCCGTCTAAAGGAAACAGTCGTGAATGTTCGAGTGTACAGAACACTCGAACGTTATACTGAGTTTAATATTTATTGCTAGAACATTACCCACTGCTTTATAAAGAATATGCCATTCAGAGCATCAGGTCAGGTTACAGCAATATAACCTCACTTTTTTTTTTAAGCAGTCACTTGCTAAACTTTTGTTGATTCTTTCATTTTAAATGTAATGATGGCCCTATGTGTTATGGCTATGCATTTTAGTTATTTGTGGTATATTAGGACCTAACTTCAAATAATACTAATAATCTGGTGTAATTTTACTTAATAGCCAAATCAAATCGGATATCCACAAGCTTATGGCCAGTGGGGCCAGTGGTATGGAAATGCACAACAAATTGGCCAGTATATGCCTAATGGTTGGCAGGTACCTGCATATGGAATGTATGGCCAGGCATGGAACCAGCAAGGATTTAAGTAAGCATATTTGCTCTTTTCCTTTATTATTGGCCTTTGAAAACATCAAGAACTTTGGAAGAGATTTTAAGTACCTTATTTTTCGGACCATAAGATGCACCTAGGTTTTAGAGGAGGAAACTAGGGGAAAATTTTTTGAAGCAAAAATGTGTTAAAATATTTAATAACATAAATAACATAATATTTCATCAATGTAAATGTAAACAGAACTCAACAACAGCATTAACAACCATTATTCCTCCCAAATGCCAGGGGGTGGGAGTGCATCTTACAGTCTGAAAAATATAGTAATTAGTTGGTAATGTGGCTCTCTTTCTAAAGCATAGCTTTAGCCTTTGAAGGATTTATTCAGAATGGTTTTTAATTTATAGTTTTTGGTACATCTCTTTAAAATTTTTCCCAGGAAAATGTTGCCTTAAAGTTAAACCAGCATTACAAGAATTTGGGTAATGAAGCAACTAATATTTAAGTAAGAAAATAAGAGCTTGCTCTGGCTGGTGTGGCTCAGTGGGTTAAGTACCCGCCTGCAAATCAAAAGCCTGCCAGTTTGATTGCCAGTCATTGCACATGCCTGGGTTGTAGGCCAGGTCCCCCACTGGGGGTGTGTGAGAGGCAACCAATTGATGTTCCTCTTGCACATCAAAGTTCTCTCCCTCTCTTTGTCTCTAAAAATAAATAAAATAAAATCTTAAAGAAAAAGAAAATGAGGTCTTAATAGTTATTAAGCTTTCTTGTGACTAATGGTCACTTGGCAATTCTTTTGTAGAATTTTGTTGCTGGTTGTTCTTTTTATTTTGTTTTTTTCTGTGCAAAAGAGTTTATTGTCCCATGGGAGCTTCTTGATACACCCTGAGTTATGTAATTTTGCTTAAATTTCTAAGAAACAAACTAGAAATTAAAATACTTTATGAGTTTTATTTGAAAATAATCTTATTCCCTGGCTGGTATAACTCAGTGGATTGAGTGTGGGCCTGCGAACCAAACAACTGCAGTTCGATTCTCAGTCAGGGCACATGCCTGGGTTGCAGGCCAGTTCCCAGCAGGGGATGTATGAGAGGCAACCATACATTGATACTTCTCTCCCTCTCTCCTTCCCTTCCCCTCTAAAGATAAATAAAAAATTTTAAAGTAAATAAATAGCCCTCGCTGGTGTAGCTCAGTGGATTGAGCACAGGCCTGCGAACCAGAGGATCACAGTTCAATTTCCAGTCAGGGCACATGCCTGGGTTGCAGGCCAGTTCCCAGCAGGGGACCCACGAGAGGCAACCATACATTGATATTCTCTCCCTCTCCTTCCCTTCACTTCTAAAGATAAATAAATAAAATCTTTTAAAAATTAAATAAATAAATAAAAATAATTTTATATTTATAATGTTGAAAAACTTTACAAACTTACATATGCTAATAATTGTTTTACTTCTTTGAGTAATATAAATGTCATAGCAAATGGTCAGGTTTATTTTAGGAAATGATTTGCTCAATGTTTACCCAACCCAGTTGGACAATATTTCTTCCTGAAACAAAGCAACGAACAGCAAGTGTTGGAGAGGATGTGGAGAAAAGGGAACCCTAATGAACTGTTGGTGGGAATGCAAACTGGTACATCCAGTATGGAAAATAGTATGGAATTTTCTCAGAAAAGTGAAAATGGATCTGTCTTTTGACCCAGCAATTCCACTGCTAGGATTATATCCTAAGAACCCTGAAATACCAATCCAAAAGAACCTATGCACCCCAGTGTTCACAGCAGCACAATTTACAATAGCCAAGTGCTGGAAGCAGCCTAGGTGCCCATCAGAAGATGAATGGATCAAAAAAGTATGGTACATTTACACAATGGAATTCTATGTAGCAGAAAAAAGGAGCTCCTACCCTTTGCAACAGCATGGATGGAACTGGAAAGCATTATGCTAAGTGAAATAAGCCAGGCAGTGAAAGAGAAATACCATATAATCTCACCTTTAACATGAATTTAATCAACAAAACAAACAAGCAAGCAAAATATAACCAAAGACACTGAAATTGAGAACAGGCTGACTGATCACAGGGGAAAGGGGACGAATTTCAGGGAAAAGGGGGAAGGGTTTACAGGAACAAGTATAAAGGACACATGGACAATAACGGGGGGGGGGAAATGGGAAGGAGGTGGGCTGGGATGGGGGGTAAAAGGAAGAAGACTACTTGAATGATGATTTAAAAAAAATTTTTTTTTAAACAATTCCTTCCTAAGATGAGTTTTCTCTGTGGTCAAAGGGGATAAATGTTTACAGATTAAGGGTATGTTCTTAGCTGTCATTAAACTGCACAAATTAAATCTATGAGATTGCTTGTTTTTAAGAAGAAGAAAAACTTTTCTTTTGCTTTCCTTGCATAATAATTCTTATATTTGGGCTTCAGAGAAAGTATATTTCCTTTGTGTATGTTATTTATTCTTTGCATTATATTTTGTTTTAATCAGTGGGTTTCCCTCCCCTCTGCTTCTTTCACATGCTCTACCAGTCAGACACAGTCTTCTGCACCATGGATGGGACCAAATTATGGAGTGCAGCCTCCTCCAGGACAGAATGGCAGCATGTTGCCTAGTCAGCCTGCAGGATATCGAGTGGCAGGGTATGAAACCCAGTGAGAAGGACTCCAGAATCTAAAGCCAGTTGCTGGAGGCTACAGGGAGTGTAGTAAAGCCGTTGTTTACTTAAAGATTTTATCAAATCAGTCCATGCAAATGTCAGATACAATGTATTTATTTAAAAGGTTCAATTTGTAATCATGAATTTACTTACCATCCGTATTGTTTTAAAAAGAAACAAGATGCTGGATGTCTGCCAATTTTTGCATTCATCAACTTTTTAAATAAAGTTTTTCAGATCCTTGTTTCAAATGCAAATGCAGGGATTGCTGCCACTTTTTTAAAAATTAAGAGGCAGAAAATTGCACAATGTTGAACTTTTTTCCACTAAAGTAGTGTGCAGTTTTAGTTTGCATTCCTAATATGATTTCAGACATGTAATATAAAGATGTTTAAAAAAAACAAAAAACCAAAACTGTGCAGAGAGCCCAAGAAGTTCTTTGTAATCTTCAGCTGTGCACCATTCTGTTTTAGGTTTGTTTTTGTTTTGTTTTGTTTTGTTTTTTTAAGGTATGGTTTGAACAATGCCATCTTTACCATTTTCCCTTTGGGGTTTTTAAATATAAATTATTGGTTTACATCATTTTTGTATCTACATTTTTTCACAAATTTGTCTTGCCTTATTAAAATTCTGTAAAATATACTTAAGTGGGGAAAAAAGTTCACTTAGATTGAAAACTTTTCTCAGATGGATTAATTGCATTCATCTTACATTTTATATGAGAAGGTGCCTCAAGAACTCCCTGTTGACCTTGTTTAAAAGAATTTTTATCTTCTGATAAATTTTCCTGTGTACCAGGAAGTATAAAAACAAAACTTGTTACTAAAGAAAATCTCTGAAATGTGATGAGTTATTTTGAACCTGTGCTAATTTCATGTGTCAGCTTCTACATTTACATGTATTATTTCATTATGTAAAATGTTTGACCAGTTTAGTATTTTGCACAGTTAGGAGACTTTGTATGTCATTTCCTTCTTAAAGGTATCATGCAGAGTTGACAGGAGATTTATAAGGTTTTAGGTTGTTTGCATGTAAATATCAAATATACACTTTGGTAGTCTTTGAATGCAAAGTCATCTGCTCTTGTTTTTTTTTTTGGTTTTTTTTTTTGAGAATTTTGAAACAAAAATTTATGTAAAGAAATACATTAATTTGCCATTTTCTAGTGTATATGTACTCAGAAAGAGTAAATCAACTTAATTTTAATTTGTACAAATGATAGCTGTGAAACTGTAGAAAATCCTTATGTCAGGCTTGGGGTTTGTTGTGAACTCCAAAATTAGCCTGAAGGACCAGCTGGGCAAAGCATTTTTTAAATGTTCAGAGGCCAAAAGATAAACAAAAGAACCTTAAAATCCTACCTCTTTAAACAGCCTTCAAAGAGGAAAATCCTCAGTGCAATCATTATTTTGATTCTTTTGGTACCTGCTTTCTTGGAGTTCCCAATTTTATTATTTTGGGGTGGCTCCGAGCATTAGAGGTTTAATCTTTGATGGCATTGTTGTATTTTTGAAATTTCTAGTACATTTCAGAGTCTCTTAGAATAGCTATGGGAGATTTTGTTTTGTTTTGTTTTCAGTGAAACTCACAAACTCCCTTCTTTGACTCACAAATGGCCCCAGTATACATATTTGGGTGGTCAGTTGTTTTTAAGACCTTCAGAGAGCTCCTAGCATTTTATTTAGGAACAGAAAAGGCCTGTGAAATTTTTGTGTTTTCCTGGCCAGTAGTATCTTCCAAGCAGGAGCAAATGACTCTAAGCTGGTCTCTAAGCCAATTTTCTTGTAAACCAGAGCCCAGGAAACACAACTAATAGGTATACAATTCCCTGGAGCTCAATTCTATGCAGTTGTACTGATGTTTCATTAAGTCACTGTGTATTTTTAAGTGTTGTTACATTAAAAGTTGCTTTATGAAAGATGAGCAAATTTTTTTAAATACCTGGAAATTTTATTTCCTTGTTAACTTCTACAGATCAGGGCATGCAACCAAAAGCAGCTTAAGCAAAATACTCAAAAAATAAAATATCAGGAGCTATTTTTAAATTCTTCTGGCTTATGTTTCTATTTTAGGACCCTTATTTTTCTCTGTTTCAGAAATATTTTACTACACATCTGTGAAATGCAGGGTAAATTATTTGAGCATAGGTAATTTAAGCAAAAATATAGTTTTTCTTTCATTTTGACTATCTCAAGTAATAACACTTTTCATTAGCCAGTATATTTTTTTATTGCACAAATCTTAAAATGTACATTGACTACTTTTTGAAAAGGAAGTGGTATTATTCATGATGAAAAGGTTACTACTGAACAAATTCATATTTCAGGAACATTGCTAACTTTGGTTTAAATCTTACTCTTAGTGTTAAAACAAATCATTCAAAGACTTTTCACTCTAAACCTACTGTCATTAGTATCAGGTAAGGAAATTAAAAGTTTTTAAAATGGTTTTATTCTCTGCAATACGCATTCAGATTTTACTTTAAAATACATCTGGTACTGTAAAGAACCTAAAGTGATTCACACTTAATGAATGGGTCATTAATCTAGTATTTTTTGCCCTGTTTGGATATTAAAATTCCTTTATGTTTTCTATAACCTGTGGGATCTTCTTGCAGTGATTATTGTGTGGTTTTTTTGTTTTTGGTCTAGCTATATTGTTACATTCATTCAAAGATTTGTTTAATTTTTTTTAAAAATCTTATCCCAGAAACAATGGTTTGCATTGTGTTACTGTTTGATACCACAAAGAATCGGAATTCTCTAGATTCAACTCCTTATGGAAACGAAGATCTCATTTTCCTTGTTGATATTATCTCACTGTTGAAAACAAGATTGACATCGTAGTTTTATTCTTCTCTTTTGTCCCTGTGCCTCCTCCTCTTCCTTTTGTGTATGTGTTAGAGTTATATTACATTTGAGAAAGCAATTGATAGGACTAGATTGCATATACGAAGAGAGTTAGGTTTATTAAGTGCCATAGGGTGTTCTTGAGGTTAGAGTGAGTTTGAAAAGTAAAATGTGTTTATAGGAAATAAAAAGCACACTATTTCCATGAAAAAGTGATTTCTAAAAACAAAATCATTTTTTGTATGGGGATTATTACATTTTTTCCAGTCATTGCATTTTACTATTGTGTTTAGAACTTGAAGAATATACCTCTAAAACAAGAAATTTTCATTTAAGAGCCATAATAAAATGTATGTGAATGTGTCTCAATGGAATAGTATTTTATATTATAGCCTCTAAAGTTGGAGGCTAAAGTTATTCGGACAGTAATTCAACTAAAAAAGGAAAAAGTAGACATTTGACTCAGGATTACTAAGCTGGGGTGAGATGCTACACAGAAAATAGGATTTAAGCATACTGAATAAATGAGATCCCTAGCTCCTTCTTGTTGACCTCTAGAATATGAACAGCCATACCTGCACACACTGGGCGGGATTTGGAGGATCCTTCTTTGGAAAAACTAAACTTTTTTTAAAAGATTTTTTTACCTATTTATCTTTAGAGACAGGGGAAGAGAGGGAGAAAGAAAGGAATGGAAACATTGATGTGCTAGAGATATGTCCATCGGTTGCCTCTCTCATGCCCTCAACTGGGGACCTGGCCTGCAACACAGGCATGTGCTCTGAGAATCCAACCAGTGCCCTTTCAGTTCACATGTGGTGGTCAACCCACTGAGCCATACCATCTAGGGCAAAAAACTTGAGATTAGAGACAGATGCTGACATTTGAGGGTCTTCACCAAAAATCCAAAGGGCCACCAATCCCCCTACAGTGAGTGGAGTGTGCCGATCATTAAGCCCTTCTCATGAACCACGAATCTTCCAAACAGGTTTTTAGTGCTTCTCTTTTAAATAAAGACAACTAAAGACCACCACAAATTGAGGGAAACTTTGATTGTAATTGGTACATCTAAACAAAAAGCAACTATCGAAGAATCAGAAAACTTTCAATAACTACAATATCCTGAGATGAAAAAAGGTAACTACTTAAGAAATTAGACCAGGCCCTGGCTGGTGTAACTCAGTGGATTGAGGGCGGGCTGTGAACCAAAGGGTCACTGGTTGGATTCCCAGTCTAGGACACATGCCTGGGTTGCAGGCCAGGTCCCCAGTGGGGGCCACATGAGAGGCAACCATACATTGATGTTTCTCTCCCTCTCTCCCTCCCTTCCTCTCTCTAAAAAAATAAAATCTTTAAAAAAAAAATGTTCTTTAAAAAAAATTAGAACAGGATACTAGAAAAACATCAGAACTAAGAACTAAAATAGTAAATTCAGTGAGACTATTAAAAGACAAATATTCTAGAACAGAAAGTAGAGGGTGAAAAATATGGATCAATTCAGGAGATTTAATATACAACCAGTAGGCCTTCCAGGAAAGGAATTGAGAAAATACAGCAATGGGTAGACTTAATTAGAAAATAAAATTATCCTGGTAAAATGATTCTCAAGATTGAAAGAAGGCTACTGAAACAGCACAATAGATAAAAAAGACCCTTACAAGGGCATACCACTGCAATTTTAGGATACCAGACATGACATAGAATATTCTAAAATTTACCAGGTAGCAAAAGGATTGAGAAAATACTCAACCAAAACTTTGGAAACAGAATCAGTGGGTATTGTTTTCAAAAGTTTGAATTACCTATCCAGTTATTTTGTCATGGTAAAAGTAGAATAAAGGAATTTTAAACATACAAGTTCTCAAAAGATTGTCTTCCCATTCACTGCTTCTCATCTAATGGGTACACTGGCGAAAGAAGAAAATAAACAAAAAACATGTAGTGTCTAGAAACAGGATCCAACACAGGAGTGAAATAAAGGGATGTCCCAGGATAACTGGTGTGAAGTAGATTGGTTCCCAGGCCAGACCGATGTTCAGAGGGCTAGACTTGGTGATCACAGGTTGTGCTATGCAGGTAATATAAAGTATGGAGGATGTGAGAAGATTTAAGCACTGAGAAAAAAATCAGGTAGAAGAGGAAATTGTCAGGAAAAACACTAGAAGAAAGGAAACCATTCCTGAGCCAAATAAGTGCATTATAATATTTTAGAAGTTTTTCTGGAATTTTACATTTTTGTACTACTATTCTACTCCTTTGGTTTTCTTTGAAATTCCAATTGTATGTTGGATTTCCTGTCTGACATCTGTTTCTATCAGGTGTTCTTAATTCCTTTTATCCTTTCGTTTGCTTCCTTTATTTCTAAACTGTTCCTTAACATGTTTCCTGTGGTATCCAGACTTGCTTGTGTTGGTCGTCATTTCTGAAATGATTTTGTCTTTCTCTTTCCTAAGTTCTACCACTTTCCGTTTCACTTTAGGGACATCTCTTCACTGAATTTTTGTATTTTTAGGCTACAATTGCTTCATTAGATTGTTTAAAATTGACATTGAAATGTTGGTGCATTATATTGAACTGCATTGTGGAAATATTTTTCCTGTGAGTTTTCTCCAGGGAAACAACAGTTTTGCTACTCTTTCATACTTTTAATTAGAGTATCTTTGTATAAATTTTGTGCTATTCCTTCATTCATGGTTGAAACAGTTGAGATTTCCTAGGCCAAGTACCCTTAAGAAAATGAAGGGACTCTCTCTAGGTTATTTCTAAAAGTGTAGCCATGTGTCCTCTTGGGATGTGACCTTGTTCAGAAGTTCTGCGCCAGCTCTGAGCTTCCTTGGTTCCTTTATCTGCTACTTTAAGGGACCTAACGCCAATTCCCTAACTTGCTTTCTGAAACCGTCTCTAGACCCCCTAGGCTCTTCACACACTTTCCTTCCCTTCTCATACACTTGTTCAGTCTTAAGGGCAGGTTTTCTTCTCAGAGTCAATATTTGCTAGTTGATTTCTGAGATCTGCCACCACCAGCCCCCTCCTCACTCCCTGTTCTTTCCCCACTACGCTCTCTTGGATTCCCACCCAGTAGTACACTTTACCTCAATGTGGAATTTGTAAGTTTTTCTCTGCCTCCCCAGTTTCACTTAAATACTGTTTATGGGGATCAGTGGTCATATTTCCTTGCTCTCTGTGATTTCCAGAAAAAAAGATCCAGAACTAGCCTGCTAATAATATTGTTCTACCAAAAATCAGAAGCCCAAATCTCTTAAACTCTTAAACATGTGCATCTGACACTCCCCTGCTTGAAAGTTTTTTGTTCGCTTCAAATTGCATTTAGGATGTACTCTAAAATCTTTAAAGTGCAATCTATACTTACCAACGTTACAGCAAGCAATTCTCTACTTTCCCATATGCCCTACTCACACCATGTTCATCTTTGAGTACTTTGTGTCTTTTTTTAAGAGAAGAGGGGACAAGAGCCTCTTGTATGCAACCCTGCTGGAGACCGAACCTGTGCCCTGACTGGGTCAGATTCATGACCTTCTTGTTTATAAGATGATGCTCATTTAAATCATCCTATCTTTAAATCCTCAGTTCTCCACTAAAGTAAAAGCTGATGACTGTTCTCTTCAATGTTGTATTGTCAGTACATGGCAAACAATAGGTGCTCAATACATGTTTGTTGAATCAATTAATTGTTAAACAATCTGGTTTTGATCAAATGTCTTTCTACCATGTGCTGATAGTACTACTGGATAGAGTACCAGATGTGAGGTGATGAGACTTAAAAGCACTAAATCACTCAGTGGATTGAGCACGAGCCTGTGAACCAAAGGATCAAGGTTCAATTCCCAGTCAGGGCACATGCCTGGGTTGCAGACCAGTTCCCAGCAGGGGACACATGAGAGGCAACTATACATTGATATTTCTCTCCTCTCCTTCCCTTCCTCTCTAAAGATAAATAAATAAAATCTTTTTTAAAAAGCACTAAATCAGGGCCAATTCTTTATGCCATACAAGTGACTCGAACTTTTATTATCCTAAAGGTCCTAGGGAGCCATTGATCTAATCTGTGTTTAGTCAAGATGTCTTCAGGGTTTCTGGCTTGAGCAGAGCTAGTTACTAGGGTGGGAAAAGGAAGAGGAGCGGTTTGTAAGGCAAGTAAGGATAGAAGCTAGAAGGCAAGAGATGGGAGCTAATGAGTTCCATCCTTAAAAATGTGGAGCTTGGACAGGTGTGACACTCAGAAATATCCAGTAGGTAATGATTGAGAATTTAGAAGGGAGATGGAGCTCCAGCGCAGTTGGTTAAGTGACTGTATACCAAGGTTTGCACATTCCATCTCAGGTCAGGAAACAAGAATCAACCACAGTATAGTTAAAATGACATCATCCAGATGATCCAGTATGCTGATGCTCATTTTAAAAAACTTACAATAAAAATGAAAAGAGAAAACTGGAAAAATTTTCTGGGAAAAGTGTGCCCTTCCCCCCCTACCTCCAGTTTAGGAAACAACAGTCCCAGAAAGGCCCATTTTCCCGGGCAACCTTTCTACAGCACCACCACTAGTAAGTAGCCGGAATGGAGCCCGAGTTTAAGGAAGTCAACACGCAAGCCTCAGGAGCTTTGTGTCTTCTTCAATCGCGAGCAAAGAACATTTAGATTTATTAAGTGTAATTCCAGAACTAGAATATAGATGGCTGATTTCAACTCATTATAAGAGAAAACGATAGAGTAATACGTGAGAATGTAGTTAAGGGAGAAAAACATAACGATATAAACACTAAGGGATAGAAACAGTGCATACTTCAGTGAGTAAGACCTCCTTTGAGAAAACATTCTTAGCTGACATCTGCTAACAGTGTAGAAGCTCTAAGACGATTTTTTCGTCATTACCAGTGGAACTCTACTCAGAAACCAGTCTCTCAACGCCTGAAACAGTCATGACCAGCCCTAAAGAGTTGTGTCAGCGCCTTCCACCAGCAGGGTAGGCCAGAAACACCTCAGCCCCGGTGACAAAATTGAACGATATTTCCCAGGTAAGCATAGATTCTACTACCGGATTCTGCAGCAATTCTCTGCAGCCTCTTAAGAGGCAGAAACTTCAACTCCCATCAGACAACGCGAGCTGGGGTGGGCGGGCACTCGCTGCGCGTGGGCGGCCCCGACCAATAACGACTTTTGTTACAGCGAAGAGTTTGGCGGTGTTTGTAAAAGACCGCGGCAGGCGAAGAGAGAGGAGGTGAGGGCGGTTATCAGCGTGGGGCTCTGGGACTGCTGTGTGGGGGTTGGGGGCGCAAGGCAGTTAAGGGGGCCTTGTTGACAGAAGGTGGGGGCGGCGGTGGAACCGGGTGTAGAGCCTGGAATCGCGTCAG